GACACTTCTTGGGCCATTATCTCCGTAACCGTTCAACTTTGGACATAGGTGTTTTGGGTTATATCGGCATACTTTAACATAAGGAACACCCTCCCGAAGTTTGGCACATTCCTCCTGGGACACCCTGTATATGTGGTGTTAACAGACGTTTCAGAGGAACGTATCGCCTCCATCTTATACCCTGAAGATGGAGGCGATACGTTCCTCCGAAACGTCGGTTAACACCACATATACACGGTGCCAAATCCCAGAAGATTGCTTTCTTCATAGTCACTGCTGTGAAAGCCTCAAATCTTACTTAAAATAACATGTTAATATCATCAAAGTTAATCTCAAATTGAAAGTATAAAACTCCTGCCATCTGTTGGTATGATGTGAAGAACTAGAAAAGATGTCAAAGAATGTAAAGATCAGAGCTACAAAACATTCAGCATTCATTCATAATGCCAACAGTAAACTTTAAAGTTGATGGATTGGAATAACTTCTGCAGGAAAATATGATCCAAAATGTAACTTCCAGCTCTAGTTTTGTGCAAATCAACATACAGTACTGTGTCATGAATTCCATGATATGTAGGGATCCAAATGACATGACTTACGTTAGGTGTAATATCATCAAAGCCTGCTGGAACATTGGAATCGAAACTGGTGCACATGTTGGGGAATAGAACCCCTTCCTTTTCTGCATCTGTCAGAACCTCTAGGGCTTCTGAGAGCTCCCGTGCTTCAAGCAGACAGCGAACAGCAAGGTAATGGCACAGCACGTGTGTCTAAAACAACATTACTTACTTACTTAGTTATGAAGCTGAGCCCTTCTTGAGGAGAAGCCAAATCTGCAGCTACTCAAGAATTTCCCAGAATTTTATGGAACCCAAAGCTTCATTACCATGTTCACAAGAGCCCTCCACTGGTCCCTATCCTGAGCCAGATCAATCAAATCCATACCATCTCATCCTATCTGTTTAAGATCCATTTTAATATTGTCCATCCACCTATGCCTTGGTCTTCCCAGTGGTCTTCTTCCTTCTGGCTTTCCCACCAATATCTTATACGCATTCATTTCCCCATTTGTGCTACATGCCATGCCCACCTCATTCTTGTCTAAAACAACAACTTGATGAAAATCACTAAGGTACTACTTCATAATTTAATACTGTCTAAACCATCTTTCAGGTCCTGTGCTCAACAAGATCTCCGGTATGGTGATCCTGGTTTCAACTGTATATCTAGTTAACCTCTGAATGGTGACACGATGAACTGTGTCACTATATCTGCAGAGATGGTTCAGAGACAGTTCACTTATGTTTCATGTTTCTTCACTATTTATGGTTCAATTTCTAAGCGTCCATATTATCTCACTTTCCAAATTCAAACTTCCCTGACCTTAACTGAATTATTTATGCAACAATTTTTAAAGCATATATTCTCACATTAAAATCTTACTGTCTCTCCCTATGACAAACCACAATTCAAGTCACCTTGTTTGTTTCCAACTTTTCATTCGTGTCTGCATAAGAAATATTACACATCTGCAAAGTACAGCTGGATACAGTACATAGTCTGTCATGGTTATGTATTACCAGAAACCTTAACAAATCTACAAAATATTTATAATACTAGTTAATTTTGAATAAAGTTCTGCATGAATGTATCTTGAGTAGTCGGTTTATAGTCACTTTAAGAAATGGGTCATGCTTACTAACAAGAGCCGGTCCATTCTTTACCTTCTCGAGGCCTCTGCTTCGAATTAAATGTGCTGCTCGGTGGTACTGTTTCATGAGGAACATGCACTGTGCTAACCAGTACACATCTCGAGCCTCCCCATTACTTAAGGACACTACCTTGTCGGCCCAGAATAACGCCGCGCTGTACAGGTGCTGCACGAAAAGGTTAGTTAATACATAAATTACGGGTAAACACAATACAAGCAATGTCATATCTATCTTACATAGCAACATACTGCAACGCTTACCAAATCAATATACGATTTTACGAGCCGACGATATTTCTCAACATTAATGATTTGCTCTGACTTCACTTTTTCCTCGCGTTCTCCCTCCATCTTCAAAGTTCCAACCCAGTACAACCAACATTCCACTATCGTAGTTAAATTCTCAACGACTGGGCTTTTTCAAAGGAGTGCTTTCAAAACGGTACTATGGGTACTGGGACGTGACGCCGTATAGTCCGGTAGTTGTTCACTGACGTTTCAGAAAAACTTATTCTGTTTTCAGGATTTGATCAATCTGTCTGTTGGTTGCTGTTTCTTATTCTGCTCTAGCCGGACGATATAGGCAGTAAGTTCCGGGCAAACATCGATAAACTACCACACTTCACGGTTTCACATACCAAGCTACAGTGCTCTTCAGTTACCGCTGAGAACTTCGAATCCCAGGCATGCGTTCAGAATCACAGTCTATGATAGGGTAAAAGGTCTTCGTAGTGTTTACAATTTAAAAGTACAGAGTGTTTAGGAAGTTTGTCAACCACGGCCTCACTACTTATTCCTCCCAACGTCTATTCATTCACATGTTGCTTTTCCCTTGTTCTGCAACTATAATTTTGTATTTATCTTTGCCATGCATACTATTTGTCTGAATTTAACTTCAAATAAATACACACTATACACTTAGATGGCACAAAATCACAATCTGCGAAATCTTAAGTTCTGACAGCAGTGAATATTATGATTACCTATTCTGGGTTACGATGTTGCATACTCAGGCAGAAACTAACGTTTCAGAGGAACACAGTGTTTTGATTTCCAGGTAGCATCATTATCACGAACACAGAACCAGCTGCAGTCCTCTCAAATGTTATCATTCTATAAAATGAGACACTGCACAAGCCAGTAGCTTCAGAAGCACACGGTTTCTCCATCCACGCAGAATAAATGTATGACTCCACAGTAAATCACGAAGTTGTCTCTGTGCATAACTAATTAATCACTACACCATGAAGACATACGGGGGAGAGGATGTATAGAGCCAGATATTCTTGACTTCTGCACTATCTGGAGGTGAGTGGCCAGCTTTATGCCCTGGGGAAAGAGGCCCTGGTACCCACTGGATGGGGCCCAGAACCAACCTCAATGGACAGCAGAAAAATCTTGCCTATACTAGGATTCATAACTCCAACCCCTTGGCTCTATTTAATAGCAGCTGCTATATTGAACGTTCTGTCGCACCTGTTAGGATTTCACAATGCCAAAACAAAATCAGTCTGATTTGTTTCACTGTGGTAAACACACCGTAGAACAGTGTAACAACACAGTGCGCCGCAAACACCTACACAACATCATTAAAGATAAGACAAAAACAACAAAAGCTCACATAAAAATAAAATAAGGTTTGCTGAAATATTACAATATAACCATAATATATTTGCAGAATCCTCCTCTCAAAAACAGTACAACATTACAAACATTAAATTTTATACCCATTGTACTTCGTCAGCACTGTATGTATATATCTTGGCATTCAAACACATTCTGTAATAGTGGCTTCCGATCATACTGATGTACCTCTGAGGATGGTCTGTAAAGACCGAAACATGTAAGGGAAGAAGTATTGAAATAAGAATAATCTCTACCAGTCACACTGGACGGACCTGTTTTAAATCAACAATCAAATTCCTTCCGTCAAATGTGACACTTTTTTAAGTTTTCCACCTCGTCACTTAAAAAAGTGTCACATTTGACGGAAGGAATTTGATTGTTAATTGGTTAGTGTGACGGACCAGAATGAAAGACCTTAAAAATGTTTTAAATCAGTCTGGTTACAAAAGTTTTTTCTTAAAATTCTTTAATTCAAGGAAAAATATTCACACTGAATGCATCAATCTTACAATAACTGACATGCATAAAATGTAAACAACAATTAACACAAATACTTATTTGATGCATGTTCCCTTCAATAAAACATACAAACAAATGAATGTGGAACATAACATATTCATAAATAACCTCTGACTTCACAGTCACTGATCGAGACAAGCTTCAGCTCAAATACAGTTCTGCAGACTTCTTATTCCAATCAATAACACACTACAGTTAACATAATTACAGGGGCAAGAGCACTGAACTGTAACTCATGGCACAATATGATGCAAATGCATGTAACTATGGTACCTCCTACTCCATGAAGCACTGTTCCAACAGTTAAGACTTCTTCAGTCTAGCACTTGTGTACATATGCCATTAGCAATTTGAAGGGAAAGAGCCGAGTTACAAACGAACATGTGTGGCTAATAATAAATGTTCGTGCATGCACATGTAGAGGCCAATTTAGTTGGCAACGCCTACAAAGTTACACCAGAAGTGAAAGAAAGCAACGTCATCCCCAAATTTGTTCCATTATTATACACAGCCAGCCATCTATCTTCTGAGTTTTACATGAGAATGTTGTGTTTGTGGGAGATTTTCTTTCCCAGTGTCTGCGTTTTCCTTGGACTGAGATGCCTGGAGCTGCAGCCATTTCCTGTGTTCATAATTGTGACAATGAATATCTGAAATATATGGGCAAAAGATTCTCACTGTAGTCTTCTGGAATGTAACGTGTAGTTTGATGCTTACGAATATTTCAGAGGACTCTACCACCTCCATCTTCATCACAGAAGCTGAGCAGGGACACAGGCACATAATACAAAACTTGAAGGGACAGGATAGAGCAGTCCAATGGAAGCCACTGTCCTTCGAAAGGGCTGTTTTTCAAATCAGGGATAGAGAGGAAGAAGCAAAGATAGAGGCTGCAGAAGAAATTATGAAGTACACGAGGAGCTGCTGACCACACCTGAAACTACATGGTGTCACATCCCAGAAAGCCAGTAATTATGGAGATTCATTTATTTAATTAAAAATTACATAAACTAAGGCTCAATAGTTTTCTAGGACTACACTCTGGCAACATTATCGATGGAGAGTTGCACCATAAAGTAGCAGTAAAATAAACTGAAGAATATGATCACAAGTTTCTTTCTAGGCCACCTTCCAGTCTCTTCAGCTAATTCAGCACCCTAACTACTTATTTTCCTGAAAAGAAAAACATAAAATTTTTCCTGAGATTTGAGGTGCTTGTGGTGGTGTGTGAATGAGGAGTCTAATGCTAGACAGGTACCAACAGGCACCTATCCACTGTACTACATGATATCACATTCTGGAAGACACTCATCTTAACAAAATTCATGTTGATACATATTAGCATAATGCAAAGCGGTATACAGAACATGTTCAGTTTTTCCACAATTAATCAAAAGAGTTTACCATAAAACTTTCCACAGTTTTCTTTAATGTTAAAAATTCAGGAGGCATCCATCATATTCCCTCATTTCCCTTCAGAAATTGACCACAATCATTGGGATGAATACAAATTAGTGCCATACATCTTCAATTCACTTTGCTGAAGTTGAAAAGACACGTGTCCAACTCTAACCAAAAACCCTGTCCAAGTATCATCAATTACATTCAAATCTGCAAGTCCTGGATTAGAGGCAGAATTCAACACCTGCTCGCTCTGAAATCCAGTAGGCACAAACAGGAAAGGACTCTCTTGGCAGAAATATGCCACTGATTCACACATTTCAATATTAGTGGCATTTTCTGAAAATGACCATACCTGCAGTAACATGTAAATATAAAAATTCTGCTGTTACCCACATGAACTGATCTAATTTAGCATTCTGAATAACAGTAACCAAATTGTTGCTTCATTTTGCATGTACTGGAACACAATGTAAAGCAACTGCAAGCTACATGCTGGCTTCCAGGTGAATGAGGGCATGTTACAGTTAATGATACAGACTAAACATTATCATTACAAAATTTGGATTTTGGTTGATAACTGGATCTACTGGACTCTTACAGATCATAAGTGCAAGTAATTATACCAATTTCATTAGTTCATGCACTTTACAATTCACTACAGTGCGCACTTTGTCCTGTGTCTTCATTGTGTGCTGCCTGGCAAAACATCACCCAACAATTCAAACCTCGTGTTGCTTGAAACTCCTGTACTGTTTTGCAGAAGGTTATACTTCGTGGCACAAATAACTACCCCAAGACAGATTTCCTTCAAAAAAAGATTTGGAAATCCACAGCATTATATCAACATTATGTATATATAAAAACATTAACAATGAAAGCAAATTTAAGGCTTTTCTGGGAAGGGCACCAGTAAGGTCTATTCCTATACTATCTCTAGACACACTAATATATATATGTGTTTATAAAAATATCTATTTATTCTCACTAATTGCCCAGCCACTTGGATAAGACTGAACACAATATACTACTACAGCATGATTCACTCAGAAACACCCAAAATTAGTAACTATGAATCACACAATAATTTACTGATGAAAATGAAACTAGGCCCAGTCTGAGCCAGCACCTGCCTGCCCAAGTCATTTCATTGCCTTCGATCCATGATTAAACGTGATCCCTCCTGCCTGTCCGACAACATCTGCAAACAGAAAGTGTGATACTGGCACGTGTCTTCAGGGAGGGGGGAACTATTTCATCATCTTCTTTAACTCAATCTTCCCCACTTCCATGAATGTACTCCTCAGGCTCTGTTTTCATAAGTATACTACTGTGTGATTTATCTTGATTAATTTCAGTCTTCCTTTGTGAGAATGACGTATGTGGAAGTCTTTGGTTATGGATAGATATATGTAAAGATGGTAATTAGGCCGACCGAGCGATCGCCACTTGTCAGTGCAACGGATCCCCACAGCAGTTATTTTTGGTTTTCTAGACTGGAAGAATAGGGGATGTCAGACTAAAAATGTTATCTTACCAACACAATTACGAGGTGCTACAAAATACTACGTTGAATTCATTACTTAACTCGAAATGGAGAGTCTACTAACTCATTCTAATAGAGGAAACCCCGAATCTGCTATTTAAAAGGAATTACTTGTTGAGAGTCTAGTTTTTGAAAACACAGGGAAGTGGGTATTAACTTATCACATAATCAATAGGAAGATCTTGTACAAATTTTTAAGTAACAATATTATATAAAAACCAATATAAAATATATGTTGCCTATCACAATAAAAATAACATGTATTTGTGAAAGCAGGTTTAAATTATGGAAACAAATCTGTCTGGTATCTTCAAACGACTTCTCAATACAATTTAAATCCAAATTAATGACAGTATATCCAGAAATTAGGAGACAGTAATTGAGTACAGATCTCCCCCTGGGTCAACCTAATGTGGGGAGGCCTGCATGCACTGATCACTTAGAGAGACATGCCAGCAGGGGTGAGCTCCTGTTAGGGTCACCCAAGATAGAGAAATACATATTAAGAAACCTAATGATGGATGCCATGACTGATGACAGAGCAGCTTGCATCTCTTGTAAAGGGGGTCAAAATTTCTGAGGACTATACAGCAAGTACAAGATCACTGAATGACAGATCTATCTTCGATACAAGACACCGACCTCCTGCGTCTGTTCCCACATGGATACACTCACTGCTTGTAAACGCTGTTCTTACACTGTACTCATTTCTATAAACTTCAATGACCCTACACCAATTATCTTCCCAGTTCATACAAATTATATCTCAGAATATCAATCCATGGCAAGCGTATCATATTCATACTTAAATAATTGCAACAGTGCCATTTCCCTTTACCTTCCCCCTGTCCCCTAACCTGTTTTGGCACAATCCCAATAACTACAGACATTTCCCAGGGATATTTATATTACAAATGAAATTGCTTGAATAATAATCTTGCTTTCTTTTTAAGATGGGAAATGTGTTTATCTGGCATATTTTGTGGAATAAATGTAAATATAGAGCAATGTACATAGAAATGAGAGTACAAAACAGAATACAAGGAAATTGTTCGTAGCATATTTAAAAGAAAAAGTCTGATGAAGCAATATCCCAGGGAACTTGTTCCATAACATAAAACATATTTTGAAAAATACATTAGTTTCCGCAGAAAACAGCCACATCAGGAACATATAAAAATAGCGTGTGGCAGCCCACAAACTTTCAATGCGGCAGTCCCACAGGCTGCGTTGGATCGTATTTCAGTTCAATATCTGGATTTTCTGCCTGAACTATTTTTTTGGCTTTAATTCCTTCCTCCTGAACTGCAACATCATGAATCACTTGTAGATCACTGTAAAGTGGACATCTGCAATGAAAATGAAGAAACACATCACAGGAAGCCACTTCAACATATTCACTCTCATTCATTCATTCATTCATTCATTCACTAAATTAACTTCTCTCTCAATTATTTGCAAAATGGCATAGCTTTCAGAAGATAAAAACAGAACACTGTATTTGTTGTTACCTCTTGCTCATCTTCCCTACAAGCCTAAACATGAAATGATATGAATCCAACATTCAGAAAATAAACACTTCTGCCATCTATCATTCCTGTTTCACAACTAAATGAACGTAAAAGGCAAAGACGTGTAACACTCAGCCTGTGATCTTAACAAAGCAGTAAATTCGGAAGCTGGTGGCTGAAGGCTTCTGGCAGTGCATCTATAGACCTCTTGATAAATTACAGTGTCAGAAGTCTTCTGACAGAGGTCAGGAAAGGGTTCAAAGAGCTTAAAATGTTTAGACATGTGACAGCTTAAAAAATAAACTAGAAAATGAAGGGATGTTATCTGAATAGATACAGTACATACATTAGCAAAAATGGAATTACGAGAAAGTGAGTGAACTCTTCACAATGACAGGAAATGTTTCTACAACTGGCAGTACAGATTACATGCCTCCTCTTCCTGTGAATGGGCCAGCAGTTATCCATACTGAATCACAATGAAATTGCTGACATGGACGATGCACTCGTATTCAAACCCTTACAGTAGTGAATTTGTTACATGGAAACATCCACAAAGAATGACACAACTGTAGGACTCACTTGTGATATTCAGTGCCCCCTTGTCCGTTGAAGTGTGAATAATTAGTTACAGGCTGGCGACAGATGTAGCACATGATTGCACCACAGGTACATGTCATTTTGTTGCAACCAGCTTCCTTAATGAACTGCTTCTTGCACTTCCAGCAAGACCTTCAAGAAAACGATTAATCAATCAAAGGAAAAAGAAAAAAAAAGCAGGGAACTGAACCACAAACACATACAGAGTAATTCTTAATGACTTAGAAATTAGGCTGTAAGTAACACATGAAAAAGCACTGAGACATGGAACAAGAAAACGGGGCAGAATTACTAGGGTTTTTGGACTTTTTCCATCGTCCGGAATTTTAGGTAATAGAGGACATGACATTTCGGAAACTGGATCTGTTTCCGTCTTCAGGTGAGAAAGGAAAACACCTACTCAGTTCAGACCCTTAGAAAGAGCTGATCTCAATCACTGGACTTTGATTGAGATTAACACTTTCTAAGGGGTCCAACTCAGTAGGCGTCTTCCTTTCACACCTGAAGACAGAAACAGATCCAGTTTCTGTAACGTCATGTCCTCTATTACCTAAAATTCTGGATGATGGAAAAAGTCCAAAAACCCCAGTAATTCTGTGTGTCATCCACCATCATCAGAACCCTTTAGAATCTAAGAAAATGGGCCTTAATACAATTTCAAACCTGATAAGAACTTACCTTCAAAATGGTGACCATTACTAAAGCGTATCAAAATTTTACATGTTTGTTAAACTGACGCAGTTCATTCTGCTTTCCGTTTTCCTAAGATCTGGAGTCGCACTTACCGCACCAAAGCGTCTGTCATCCTGTTCTCAATGTAAGTCCGCATTTTCACTTCTTTGGATTCGACTTCATCACAGCGTAGAGGAATGTGATTAGGCCTCTTGCATTTTCTGCAACCCACGTGGGAAGTAAATTTAACCTGATACGGTGAAATGATAACTAAACATATTCAATGCTTTACTGTTAAAACATCAAGAAATTTTGACATACAGCTTGTGGTTTGAGATAATAAAGACTGTTTTCCTAAATGTCATTACCTGAATGACCTTTGTAACAAATATTCAATATTTTCTTGAAGGCAGAAATAGACTTTTAAGATATCATTTTGAAACACTCCAACTTATAAAGGGTTGAGGGACATAAAACAGTTTTATAATCAGAAATCTCTATAAAATTGTCTAAAATTTATTTCAGGCTATCATCATAAATAGACAGGAACTTAGACCTGTATTGGTCCATTGTGCTTCCCTCCATGATTTCTACCAGTCTCTATATCCTACCGGTACTGGTGCTTACCATCAGTCCCGCCCAGCCAGCGAGACCGGCTCTACTAGCTGAGAGGTATCTATAATGCTTCCCCCATCTACCAGAGGTATTAGAGACTGCTGTTGGGCGGGAAACGTCCGTAATTTGGCTCAGTGACCTCCTTTGGAGATATGAGGTTCTTTTACGTGCCATAAAGCTACGACACGGGACCCATGGCTTAAAGTCCCTCCCGGAGGACTTGTTCCCTGAATTTTTCCGCCCTTAAAAATTCGACGACCTCCGCCGGGTATTTGAACCTGTGTACTACGAATCATGAGGTGGGAACGTTACCTCTAGACTATGGAGGCCGCTTCCATGAGTAAGTAAGTTTCTGTCAGTCAGTTATAAGACTTTATTTAAAGTGTGGTTATGGTGAATCCTACAATTTGCCTTCTTACAGGCACATTTTTGTTGTCGCTTTAGAGCAGTAACGTTTCAGACTTGATCTGAGGGGTAGCCAGTTCGAATCCTAGCTAGAACATTGATTATCCTGGTATTAACAAACCTACCCCATGTTACACCTTTTACCAACAAACTGACAGTCGCTCACCAAAAAACAAAATAACAAACCCACTCGATGTTAAAATCCTTTATTGAGAAACTGACGGTTGCTCAGCTACACAGGAAATTCCTTCTTTTATGGAATCTGCAGGTTCGTTACCCTGTTCACAAATCCTGCCACCATGCCCTATCCCAAGCCAATGCAGTCCACATCTTCACACCCTATTTCTTTGTTATCCTCCCCTCTATGCTTAGGTGTTCCACGTCTTCTTTTCCCTCAAGCCTTTTGACAAACGCTTCTACACACCTTGCCCATCTCATCTTCCTTGAAGTGACTGCTCTAATATCCAGTGATAAGTACAAGGGTCATGCCACAGTTCAGGCGACAGGTGACAGCCTCTTGGGTTCAGTCTCAGGAGACTTTATTAGAAATTCAGGGTGGAAGAGCAAGATACTCTCCAAGTATTTTCAGTTTCCCTCTGCTATCTACCACTGCTACATACCCATCTACCAACCCCCCCTCCCCCTGAGCTGTGAGGTAGCCCTGACCAGGCAGCGCATTATCACATTCTCAGTCTGTAAGTTGGGAGCTTCATCTCTGTCCTGGCACTTGGCTGGTTGCAGCGTGCAGGAGCCAGCTTCATAATACCAAGGGGCAATGTGTTCGATATCAGCATAAGCTATTTGTCCAGTTCTGAATGACAGGCAATGTGAGCGATACCAGACCTGCAGGAGTCCCGCATACACTTCTGATTGTAGCATAGGAACACTTTGCTGTCAGGGGGTGGAATGGTTGCAAAGTCGCAGAATGGACAACTCTCCAAGTCCTGGATGCCAGCAGCCTGTACTTCCTCCAGCTGTTTCATTTGCACCATCCGCGAAAACAAAACCGGCTTCAACACCGTCTGTGTGTCATAAGATATTCAAGTGTGAAAGGTTTTACTCACAGAAGTTCTGGTTACTTACATTTCTGCACAACATGCTTACATTTCTGCACAACATGCTTACATTCCTGCACAGCATACTTACATTTCTGCACAGCATGCTTACATTTCTGCACAACATGCTTACATTACTGCACAGCATGCTTACATTACTGCACAGCATGCTTACATTTCTGCCAATTAATGGTCACCAATCCATGACAGACAAACTCTCAAATACTGAATATGGATAAAATCCATCCAACTGTTCAGAAACTGGAAACATGCACATACATATTCTGACGTGGATGGCGCAAGAGGAAGCAGGAGTCACGTGAACTCTGCGTTCTCGCGAGTGATGTCACATACCCCCACTCCTTCCATCATTACGCAATGCTCAGTAAACATTTGTTATGTAAACTTAACATATATGGGAGTGAAAAAGAAAAAGGTAAAGCTATCACTGTAACAGGCCCTGAAAGCCCATTTGGGTGTGAGAGTTTGAGACTTTCACATCTTCTAGACAGCCAGCTCATAGATGGTGGCAAGGCTATCAGCTTTACGCACCAAACCCCTTTACCCCACTTGAAAATTCCTGGTACTAATTTCTGTTTTAGAGGCTGAGTCGACCCCAGGGCTAGTGTGTGGCTGTAAAGATTAGGTCAATTGAAAAATCCAATGACCTCATCAGGATTCAATACTGTGACCTTCCAGCTTGTAGCATAGTGCCTCAACCATGCTACTGTGTGGCCCTCACATGTGTTTTAGATAAAGAATACAACAGTGAAATTAGCAGTCAATGAAACATTAACATGCAGGCTGGACAAGAAATACTTGATTATTTCTTGCAGAAAAAACAATATAATAGGCAATGAGAATATTTGAAATTGGAGGTTCTCGCAGCAGTGAGCATGAGGATTACTGTCTTATGGGATGTGGAACCACATAATTTAGTTTAAGTAAGCATAAATGTTTCAAACAAAGTTGCTGGGAGCAGTAAGTTCCTCCAAAGCATTGATACATATCTACCAGAATACACGGTGTCAAACCCTGCAAGATGGTAATCTTCATAGTGACTGCCACGATAACCTCAAATTTCTCTAACGCTCTGTGCTATATGTCTTGTTTTCCGAAAAATCTGTGTGCAAGGCAGTAAAAATGTAGATTTTAAAACAGTAGAGCCCTTTCACAAAATGGAGGGGAAGGGTTCGTGTAATGCTACAGCTACTTCAGATGAAGAAAGCCTCACCCTTAAGACCTTCAGGCTGAACTCTGCATTGCAGGTGGTGAGACATGAGAAGCCGCTCTGTGCATTTCCAATTGCAACTTCTGCTGCCCTAGAAACATTTTAACACATCAGTAGATAACACATGCAATGGTGAACTTCACTAATGTCAGTGTAACCCCCTAAAAATTTCTTGGGGGGGACGTTAGATTTGAACACTTAAGCGTAGAAAATCTTAAATGGATTCCTCTGGCTCAGGAAATGGTCTGGCGACAGGCTTTTGTGAGCAGGGTTCTGCTCCATAAAAGGTGGGGGATTTTCTTCTTCAGGTCACTTATCTCAGAATAATTTTAGGAACTTAATGACACTTGATATATATTCCTTTCTTAACCCTATTGCTGTGAGACTCAACTAAAGTTCAGCAAGTATCCATTAGCATATAGTGCAATATTCAACTTCAGTCCACATCAAGAAATTTTTATTTTTTCCCTTTGATACACCATTTCACTTCATATATATATATATAAAAGAAGCAAAGCTGCATCTCTGTAACAGGTTGTGAAGGCCTGTAGGGTTGTGAGATGTTGAGGCTCCCACAGTTTCTAGATAATCAGCTCAGAGATGGCGGTGAGGCTGTCAGACTTATGCACCGGCCAGCCGCCCTTTACCCCCAGGAAGATTCCTGGTATTCATTTCTGTTAGAGGCTGAGTCGACCTCAGGGCCATAGTGCGGCTGGAAGGATTAGCCAATTGAAAAATCCAGTGACCCCATCGGGAATCAAACATGGGACCATCTGGCTTGTAGCATAATGCCTCAACCAACTACAATACCATGTGCCTCCCCCTTCATACGAGGAGCGTTCCATATACAATGCCTCCTATTTTTTTAAAGAAAACTAAAACAGATACAGAAAGCATAATAACGCAGTTAAATAGAGCAAGATTTCAGCTACTTACACTTATTCTTCCACATAATCACCACCATTCGTTATGCACTTTTGCCAGCGATGAACAAGAGCTCGCATGTCATGCCTGTAAAAGTCTGCACCAGCAGAGGCTAACCACTTTCTTACAGCTGCAATGACAGCAACATTGTCTGGAAAATGTTGCCCATGTAGTCCATCTTTCATAGGCCCAAAGAGATGGAAGTCTGAAGGTGCTAAATGGGGGCTATAAGGTGGATGTGGTAGGACAGTCCAGCCAAACTTTGCAATGTGCGCAGAGGTCGCCAAACTGATATGGGGTCTAGCATTATCGTATTGCAAGCGAAAGGTTGTCTGCTTCTCTGGCCTGACTCAGGAAATGCGGGCTTTCAGCTTGGTCAGCGTCGTCTTGTAGCATTCAGAACTGACAGTCTCACCAGGCTCCAGGAAATCCAACAAAATCACACCCGCCTATCCCAAAAGACCGTGCACATCACTTTCCCTGCTGATGGCTGTCTCTTGAACTTCTTTTTTCTTGGGGACTGTCTTTCGGATTCCAGCTCGTAGTGGTGACACCACGTTTCATCTCTGGTGACGATGCTGTCCAGAAACTTGTCACCTTCAGCTTCAAACTGGTACAACAGGTCCTGACAGACTTCCATTCAGTGAGTTTTGTGGTCCTGTGTAAGCAACCGTGGGACCCACCTGGAACAAACTTTGCGATAATCCAGCTTCCCCAACATAGCTTCCAATGCACTACAGCCGATATTAAGCTGTGCACACAGTTCCCTGGTCTTTATCCGCCAATCTGTATGGATGAGCTGATCAAGGTGCTGTTCATTGTGAGGAGTGGCAGCTGAGCAGGGACGCTAAGGGGGTGGCTTGTCGTGCACTTCACTTTCGCCACTGTTCAAATGCACTACCCACCGCCTCACTGTGCTAACATCCATTGTATTGTCTCCGTACACCTTTAGCAAGTGTCGATGGATGTCAATGGGTGCAGTTTGTTCGGCAGTGAGAAATTCAATAACGCATCTCTGTTTCGTATGCACTTCTATGTCAGAGGCCATTTTGGTAGACTGCTCTGCTGTCATTATCTGTCGCACGACAACCAAACTAACAGTATATTGGTGGGAAAGTTCAACCTTTACTACAACACCACAAACATCCAGCTCAGATGTTACAGATCAACACAAAAAAATAGGGGGCATTATATAAGGAACGCCCTTCGTACTGTGGGAACTGCCCACATTCAAGCAAGTGTGACAACACAAGCGTCATTGCTTATCAACGACAAGTAAACAACGGTTGCTAGGCAGAAGCAAGTAAACAGCGGTTGCTAGGGAACTTATACACACAGTAACCGGCAATAGCAGTACCTATTACGCAACCGTTTTCTATATGTCCGATTCTAGGCTACATAAGAAGATACACTGAGTTACAGAGACAGTCTAGTTCTACCGTTCTACAATACCAGTTCAGTGTTCAAGCAGTTCACTATTGTTGTTATCCATCTGTGTATACGGTGCAGCTACAATAAACCCTATAGGACAGTTCAACTAGTGGTTGTCTATTCATTCATACGACATCCCACAGTACATTAGGCTTTCTTCCTTAAAATTTTTACCTTAAAATTGCATTATTTTAGGAAAATTATGAAAAAAATAATACACAGCAAAAGGGTCAAGCAGGAATGCCTGCAGACTCATTTTTCAACTACAGCTTATTTCAAATGGCACACGTCATGTTCCAAAGTATACATTGTCAGATCTGAGATTTTCATGGTGGTGGCCATGATTGCTGTCTGCCATGCTTTATCATGTAAATCATTACTGACCTTCTAGAGCTAGAGCTAGGGTCTCCAAACTACGGCCCGCGGGCCACATGCGGCCCACGATCTGATTTTATCCGGCCCACAAAAGAATTGTGGAGAAATGCGTCAATTGAACTAATTTTCCAATGAGTACTGGTAAATGTGATTCCGAGCTTATTGACCTGACATATTATATTATGCAGTTCGATGGCTTAGCTGTGGAAAGGTTCTTTCGCGCTTCTTTCAGCTCAGGAATGAAATTGATATATTTCTTACCGAGAAAAACCATCATGAACCACTTTTATCAGATACCGAGGGGCTTCGGAAATTAGCATTTTTTGCTGATATGGTGAACCATATGAACCATTTGAATTTAAAGTTGCAGGGTGAAAATCACTTAGTCTGCTGGAAAGCCAAGTGAAAAATTGTAACTTTGTTCATATGCTACACTGTGCAGAGTTGCATAAAAAGGGTGAAGCAGAATTTCCTTCCTCGTTTGCAAATGTAGTCATTTCAGATTTGAAGGAACAATTTCGGAAGCGAATTCCTGATTTGGATTCCAGTGCTCAGGAAATTAGATTGTTTCAAAATCC